AGAATTTAAATACTGCCTTCTCTCTCATGCCTAACTCTGAAAGTGAAATTTATGTAATATTACAGCATATAAATGAAACCATCCTACCTCCCTGTCTTATTGTCATGGCAAGCTTGCTTGAATTGTTTCCTTTGGTAACAAATGGGCAGAATGGGTTGTCCCTGGGCATTTAAAGGCCTTTTTATTACAGGTTGCTTTCTATTTTACACACCACATTATAATTTCTTTCAGAGAATTTCTTCAGAATTGTAGTTTTGCTCTGACATTGACTGATGCATGTTTACTTGGGCACTTGAGTTTACTTGCTTCTAAATGTATATGTGTAATATATAGCTTTTGTGTGTGAGATGCTTCTTCTGGAGATAATATTAGCAACAAAATAATTGGGAACTGTGAGAAAATGCCATTGTACTATAGGAGATAAAATATCATTTGGTTTTCTTTTCTGTGAAGGAAATTTATGGAGTTCTGTGAAAAAGGGCAGTTTATTTTGCTATCTTTGGGAAAAGACAAGATTAAAAAAAATCAAAATTTGTTAGTAATCATAAACATTTAGATCATTTGTTAATCAAAATTATTCCCATACAGAAAATTCTAGTGTCTTGTCTAGTCTGTTTTAAGCAACACTTGAGCTGTGAGTTTCCCAGGTATTGTCTTTGTCAGATTATCTATGTCTTCATGACCCCTGGCCCAAGCACAGGCTGTTTCATTAAGTAGCTAGCCTTTAAAGCCAGCTGCTCACTGCAGGTCCTGCGGAATGGCCATTTTTCTTTAAAGAATCTCACCTATGATACCAGTATATTGAGTAATGCAGCAGTGGCTTTAATGAGTGGTTCAATGTGAAAGATATGTTTTTACTACTTACATAAATAGTAGAAAATACTACAATTTTCTTTAAAACTACTACTCTTCTACTGTCTCTGGCTCATACTCTGTGTTTTTTTATGCTTTTAGAGATTGGTAAGATTTGAAACAGATAGTGGCACAAAACATTGCAGGGGAAAATACAATCTGAGAGCACTTTCATATTGATTTAAATTAAAAAAATCATTACTTATAGATCCAAAAGGGATTTTTTTCCTCCACTTTAAGACATTTTCATTCTCACAACCATATTGGAATTGGTCGTTGAACTTAAATACTTCATGATGTTTTTGTAGTTATTGAGAATTTTTCCCAAATAAATTCCCAAACTGTCTTCTTGGCCAAATCTCAAAACTAAAGATATGGTGGGTATTGTTACTGGTATCTGTTTAACTATGTCATGACTTATTGTTAGGATATTACTAACATGTAGCTGTTTTAACAAATCTAGATACCTTATGTATCTCTAGTAATCCATATACTTTGATTTGTATGTAGACCTGGTCTTTTTATGTCACTTGTCTAACTAAGCTCTATAAAAATTAACACTTGCTACTATTGTTTTCTTCCTGATTACTTCCAGATATGTCTAAATGAGCATACATTTAGAATTCTGTGTGAACAAGACGTGCAAATTTTGTTTTTATACTTCTGCTTTTTTGCGAGTTGTTCTTTGAGCGACAAGGAGAAAATAATAAATTTATTCAATCATGGGACTAATTAAGTAGATGAAAACAATTTTGGGATATGTGATTCTGGCATCAAAAGATGTGCTGGATATTTTAATGCAGTTCTTCACAAATCAGATGACATGCTGTCTGAAATGTGTGAAGAGCTATCCAAGAGAGAGGGAGGAAGGTGGTATAGAGAACTCTTGTTTGTTCCACAGAATTTCAGGTACTATTCTGGCAAAAAAAAAAAAAAAAAAAAAAAAATTAAAATTCAAGAGACATCTTTTCCTGAGTGTGCAAGGAACCTTGAAGCAATGAAAGAACAGTATGACCTACCATTGATTTCATGGAGTTCAGGCTCCAATACAACTGATGACAATCAAATTATATTATTCAGCTCTTTTGTTATTTAGCAATTGATATAAGAACAGAAAAAAATGTATCATAATATGATAGTTTACATCATCTCTCCCTGAAATGTTTTCCTGAAGAGATAGGCACTCAGCTTTCAGAATTTGTTTCTTGTAAGATGTGAAAGGAATGAAATTAAGTCCTTTGTATGAAACTGAATTTCACTGAAATTATTTGGCCCAAGACAAGTGATAACAGTCAGAATGCATGAAAAGGGTGCGTTTGTATTAGTTCATTTGAAGATCAGTGGTGGCCATATTCAAACTGTCTATTGCAAGGGCCTTATCTTAGCCACTGTGACACCTAACTAGTGAAGGTCCAATTCAGGGCTGCCTTGAATTTCTGTGCAGGCAACACAGAGCCTACCAACACCACGAACAACTGAAGTAAGGTTGTCGAAGTAAGGCTCCTGCTTCTTTCCATCAGAGAGTTTAGGTGCTCCCTTGGTAGCTGCCTTCACGTACAAAGAACCAGCTCACAGGGAATAGTAAAGCAATCATATCTGATATGTAGCCAAATTCAGAGCTACGTAGTAGGATCCTCTGATAACTGGAGTCTCATCAGTGAACCCATCTCAGAGGACAGGCAGGTGAAGATGGAGGTTTTGCACTATAGCCAAGGTGTTAAGTGCCTGATCATATAGTTGGAGAGCTGTGTTCAGGCTGCGTAACCTGAATCTTCTTATTAGTTGTCTGTACAGTGTGCAGCAATGTGGTATTGTTCTTGGTGCAGGGTTCATATGCACTATTCAGTGCAAACAAACTTAAGACTTGTGGGAGAGATCGGAGGGGAAAGGGTTAGATGACCTTAAAGAACTACAGGAAATTTCCAGTGTCTGAGGACTAACAGAAGCTATGGTACCTAACAGATTAGGTTTGACTTACTTTGGAAATATGTAATATTCTGTCACTTTGAAACTGTTTCATTTTTCATGGCTATAAGAAGATACAATTTACAACATATAAAAAAATGCAGATTGATAGCCCTAACAGACTTTCTTATATTACCTGCAAGGTCTTTGTATCTTTGTTTTTAAGGTCTATTTCCCTTCTTCTATATTCCTACGCTATGGCAATAGCCTCAATGGAGCTCATAAAAACAGGAAAACAGTTCGATAAATATATGCTTTAGACAGTCTTGCATATGGGCACAGAATGATCTAAGACTTGATTTAACCTCAATTCAGTCACGATACTGAATTGTAGCTGGTACCTAAAATGAGTCAGAGTGGCACACAGCCCTTGTCCTGTGAATATGGTTGGTCATACAAAGATCATAATTCAAAGACATAGTACATCTCTTGTTATCGCAATCGTTGGGGGATTGTGTTGGTTTTTATTGAGTACGTAAGTAGCAAAATGGGATGAAAAAAGGGATACCTCTTTTCTTCTTAGTTCATAGAATCATAGAATCATTGAGGCTGGAAAAGATATTTAAGATCATCGAGTCAACCATAGATGAACTGTATTTCAGAATTTAAATCTGTGTGTTCTACAATCAATCACAGAGTAGAAGACAAAAACACTTGATGTTTATGTGAATGTCATTCTTTATTTTTTTTTGCCTCAGACTTGGCCTTTCTCACTTGATCTAATACTTCTCCTGGGTAGTACTATGAACACAAACCACTCTCTTGACTCAGCAGGTCTCCAAAGCATTCAGTTTCTCTCCCTAGTCTGTTCTGTAATCCTTGCAGAAAGCTGATGTTCCCAGGTCTCAGGCTGCTCCCTCCGGTGTCAGCATACATCAGCATTCCTCAGTGCAGAGAACATCCCATGCGATACTCTCTCACTAAATACGTATGACTACACACTAATATTTCTACTCCTTCCTAATCTGCAGGTAGATTTGGAAAGCCTTGTGCATTGGTCAGCTAGGAAGAGACAAGGAGCATCTGCAGGAAGCTCTATTTCAGTGGAGCTGGATTTTATTTTAACACAAGATTCTGTACTCTCTGCACTGTGACTTGTTTGCTTATTGCCTTTAATCTATGTGTCAGCCTTATATGCTCAAGGGTGCTGCTAAATGATAGTCCTTTTGTGTAGTCCATAGCAAACTTCTTGCAGTCTCTAATGATGCAAGGTCTGGATCAAGGCCTGTACTGACCACACAAGTCCAAAGAATTAGTAGCGGATATAAGAAGCAATCATAACCTGACAAACCCATTTCAGTGAGACTTAGCTTGCAACCCCAGCATCACTAAATTATTGGAAACTAAGCTTTTCTCCCTCTCTCCTGCCAAATGAAATTATCAGATTTTTCCAAAGTAATGAGTCTGACAAGCTGAGGTGTTATATCAAAGACAAAAGATCAGTATTTCTGTTGTAGGTGTATTTAGGAAGAGACAAAACTGTAGGGTGTTTTTTGTTGTTGGGGGGGGGGGGTTTATGATTCTTAGTGTGTGTTTCTAGTCAGAACGAAAAAAGTTCCCAAAGGTGCTGTTTTGTGATGCAAACAGAGCCAGGCTATGCAGATAAGAGAATCTATCAACTGCTCTACATTTGCAGCTTAATTTTATTAGAAAGTCAGCTGTCCACTTGCTTCACAGTGGTATCCAACTATTAAGATCTTCCTTCATGTCTGTTTCCCTTTCCATTACAAAAACAATCTAATCATGCTAGTTTAACGCTTACTTTTTAAAAATTGCTTTCCCCGCATAGTTCTTCTTAATTAATTGATATAGGAAACCCACTTGGAAAGGACGCTGTTTATAAAAGGGCATGCCAGAGTGTTTATCTGGCCTTGGGCTGCAGGAATCAGAGGATGGATGAATATCCTGCAGTTGTTTTGGCCATGATTATATCACGGATGGCAGGTTGCCAGTAGCAACTGCAGTAAAAGGTCCAGAGTGTTAGTGTCTTCCTCTGTGTGATAAAACAGAGAACATTTGCACTTTCAGAACCGTCTCAGAGAGGATTTGTGGCAGATTTTGGAGGACTTGAAGTGACAAGAGGTGGAAGTAGATAAGCTGCTTGCAGGTTGTGTGCCAACCTGTCCTTCTGTTGGCTCCTCCAGGCCTGGCACCACTGACGCTTTTTTTGCCCTTCTTTCTAGAACATTTAAAAGAGAAGCTGGAGGAATACATGGTCCGTTTTGCCAAAGTGAGGATTGTACGTACCAAGAAACGAGAAGGGCTCATTCGGACCAGACTGCTAGGAGCCTCGCTGGCTAGAGGAGAAGTCTTGACATTTCTGGATTCCCATTGCGAAGTCAACGTGAATTGGCTGCCTCCCTTGCTTAGTAAGTGCATGAGCGTTCATCAGCCATTAAAAGTAGAGCACACAGCATAGCTTAAGCAATCAAAGCCATGTCTCCAGGACATACGCTGTATACAAGAGTTTGGAGCTGTGCTGCAGTGTCTGAAGAGTCAGTGTGAGAGAGAACTCAGAGAAATGTGAGCAGCTCCATTTTATGGTTCTTGTGACTAAAGAACTGGAAAAACTTCGAAGATTCACTTTGGCCTATTAGAGTTACGATTTCTTTTATTACTGCCGCTAAATACACTGCTAAGTCTAGTATTATGCTATGCCCTTACTATCCACCTGAAAACTTTTGTTATGCAGGTATTGTACTCCTTCTTAGTCCTCCACATTCCATTAAAACAGCTTTTGCTGTAAATGTATCCAAGACCTCAGAGTTAAATCCAATAACTGCATTCACAATAGGAAGCTCAGAAAGAATTATTTGCTATTGACTGCTTTGCTGGATTCCAGCTGCAGCTGGCAAAGCTCCGTTAGTCAAAGGAATGGAAGAATCAATTGTTGTAGTCTAGGATTTCACGTCAGGAAAAAATGTCCCCTTTTCTACAAACACCTCCTTTTCTACCTGACTATATGCAAAGTGTATGTGCTTTGCAAAGTGAGTGCTTTTTTACTAGCAAAGAAAATTTCTGAGTTTACTATTAAAGAAATTTGTGCTGATTAAAAGAGTATGTCGTAAGTACATGACAGGATAGGGTTTCACCAATTAGTGGTTATTGTTTCTTGAATTTTGTTGCCAGGACTGGTTTGGCCACACAATAAGCTGATAAAGCATTTGCAGCCAAGAAGAGATGCTGTTCTGCTAATGAACTATCGCTTGAGACCAAAAAAATACTAGTAACTAGTTTTTCTTCAATTCAGTAACAACATAATGTACAAAATTCCAAATTTACATCCTTTCTAGCTTCCATATCAAATTACACATACAGTCTATCCACTTGTTACCACTTTGCCCTCAATCACAACATCAGCATTTTTAAAAATCACCTCCGTGTCTTCATGTAAAGCCCAAATGGCATGAAGGAGCAGAGGGAAATACAAGTTTCAATAAGCCTTCCACAAGCAGACCTGACAAGTAGCCATTAAACACTCTCGCATATTCTACAGCCACCTTTCCTCTGCTTTCTGATTTTGCCCCACCATGCATAGTACATTGCCACTAATGAAAAAATCTTAAGAAGATTCTCACTTTTGTCCTCTGAAATCTTTTGCTAAGTTACTGCAGATGAGACGTAACCCTTCTGTTTTGCTAACTTAGACACGGGAAAATTGCAAGTTGCAGAACCAGTTCCTTTTCTTGCTTTCTTGTCTGAAATGAAGGTACATCTAGCTGGGTTTCACCCTATAAAAACTGAAAAATAAATAGAATGGTCACAAAGGATTCATAATTGCAGTTAGGGTTGTAGTTGGGTATCGAATTGATGATCACAAACCTCAGCCTCAAGCCAGAAAACTGAAAAGATGAGAGAAGCTTCATCAGGGACCAAGTCCCAGTTCTCCTTAGTTCTCAAGTGGAATGAGATCTTTCGTGTTCCACATGTAGTAGAAACACCCTTAGCTAACCAGTCAGAGGATCTAAAAATTATTCTTGAGGAACACTGGAGCCCAGGATCAATAGGCTTTATTTTGAAAGAAAAAGTAGAGCATTACATGAAGAAGGACAAATAGAGAATGAATACACAGCTAGTATATTTAAGGATGCCCTGTGCCCTGTTTTCCAAAAGGGATGAGAGAACTTTCTCATAACCATTAGGTGGCAATTATTTATTATACTGATATCAGATGACACCTAGCTACCGATAATAATGAAGTTAATACATTTTTGCAAGTATTTATCTGAAGATCTATTTTGTAATTCACTCAACACTGCATTTGACTGGATGTCATTCAAGGAAACCAAAACAGAGGACATATTGGGTATTTATTGCTTTGAAGCTGCCCTATTTTAGCTCTGATTGTATATGCCACGTGTAGTGAAAGTCCTCAACAAAAGCCCAGTTCAGCCCTGCTCTGGAGTGAAGACTGCCAGTCTTCGCTGAGAGGGGCAGTGGTTTCCACTGTTCCAAACCAGTTTTTTTCTCAAAATGAGACCTTGCAAGGTGGGGGGGAACCAAGAGCAATCACTTAAAGATGGTTCTCAAACTTATTTAGGCATCTAACTTACATTTTCAGAATTGACTGTTACTTTCTAGACCCAAGGAAGACTGAGTTATTTCAGTACTTGTTAGGTATCTAAATAGCTTTGTGGACCTGAGCCATAGTTGTTTTCAGTTACAATCCTTTGTTTTGTTTTTTTAAAAGCAGGTGCAAAGTGGCTTTTCTTTATTTTCTTTAAGCTTTATTTACTTTATTTGTTTAGCTTAAATGGGTTTCTGCACTGAGATAAGCCACTCTGAGGTCTCAGAGAGTTTTGCCTGATGTTCACTGAGAGGCAGCTGTAGTCATGTAAAAATGTTGGCAAACACAGCTGTTACCACTCCTCAGTATTATAAAGTCGGCAGAAGGAAAGATGCGGCTTGGGCTCCAGCTGCTGTAGTTTAGAGTCTGGTGTAGTGTGAAGTCGGAGTTATTGCAGGTAAGAAACTGAGCGGCAAACCAGCTGAAAGGTGCAGGCACATCTTTCCTTCTGCTGATGTTGCTGCAGGAGCAGTAAGAGGGGAGGTGGACAATAAATCAGTAGTGCCATAGGCTACCGGAACTAGGTTTGTCAAAACAGGTTTTTTTCCTGACCAAGACTTAAAACTATATCATGAATAGATCATGCTTAGCAAGTTATCAAGACACCTGCTAGCTATAGCTGTCCCTCTCCACAATATTTGTGTGATGCATTACTTGCCAGTGGGGAGACTGAGAGTACAAGTAGTTATGACAACTCAGATAACACGAGATAATTTGCTGAGCCTCTCAAATGTTGTCACCATCTGTAATCACATATTTAAGCAGGAAAATAAGAGTATTTGCAATGTGGCATTGTTACTTTAACCAGGCCAATTTGAAACAAGCACTTGAAATTAAAGGGATGCATCTTTCTCATAAAGATAAAACCTACATTTTTGAGATAGTGACTTACCCAATATTGAAAACTTCTGTTTATTGTCACATGTGCACACTCTGCTTGATAGTAAAAGTACTAAATTCAAATATATATGTACATATTGCTTAAAATTGCTAGGGAGAAAGCTCTGAGCAATGTTCCCTCTTGATCCCATGCTTTCCCTCAAATCTGCAAGATTTTTACTTGTACGACAATGCTTATCTGTCTGTTCTTCCCTTTACCTGCAGCATATGTGCATTGAAATAATGCATGGAAATTTTCAGACCAGTAGGAATTTGTGAGAGGATGATGAGTAAAGGCAATAGAAAAGAAACTGTAAGCATTTTGGCTATGACTTTCAGACTCTAGCGTTAGGAGCAAATGGAATAAAGAGCAGTGTCTGGCAAAGGCAGCAGCATGTTCACATCTGTAAAGCTATGATACTGGCACTCTTGTGAAATGTAAGCTAGCCCTACAGCCCTTTTTTCTGTTTCCTAAATCTGGAAACAGAAATTCCTGTATTGGGGGCCTACCTTTAGCCTAAGAAGTATGTATGCAAAATTCATTATTTTAGGCATACTGAAAGAAGCATTGAGGTTTCAGGTTTGATTACTCTGCCTTTTGGTGTGCACAACTACAAACACGCTGGTTTCTTCAAAGTCAAGATCTTCCTGTGGTTTCTCCTCATCTCTGAAACATTTTTGGGGCTGAGAAGTTCTGCAGATACACACAAGAACAGGCAGGTAAGCATCATCTTATTTGCTAAAATCTTGTAGAGTTGTAGGAAGAAAGACTGGTGTTGAGTTTGAGCACTGCTCAAATAATTTTCTCCCTGCCTATCTCTGCATGTGACATGGAGATTTCCAATCCTTCAGTCTATTTAAAGGCAGCGGCTTTTGAAGATCAAGAGAAGGATGCTAATGCATTATGAGTCTACCTTTGACCTGCTCCAGCCAAATCAATCCTCTTTAGTTTCTCTCCTCCAAAGAATTTAGAAGGGGGGCATCAGAGACAGATTATTATAAGCCCTGTAACTATTAGCAGCACCATCACAGGAAAGAGGTTATGTAAAAATGACTTTACATAATGATTACAGATAACACTACACAGTATACCAGTGAATGTAATTATATTTGGCAATAGCAACAGTAATGCAGCCATTATGTCTGAGATGAGTTTCCTAGAATTTTGTGAGAGCATGTGCTTTAAATTTATTTTAACTTCCAATCACCATAATTTCTTACTAGCAGTCAACATTGTTCCCCCATTTGGACAGTCTATAAACAACTGAGAAAAAATATGAAAACTACAGATGTTTTGCTAACATAATCTCTTTTCTTAATTTCTATCCTTCAGAAGCAAGGAAGCAGAATCTGTATTATTAATCATTACACCAGTATTACCTGCCTTCCTATCTAAACTTCCAATCACCATAATTTCTTACTAGCAGTCAACATTGTTCCCCCATTTGGACAGTCTATAAACAACTGAGAAAAAATATGAAAACTACAGATGTTTTGCTAACATAATCTCTTTTCTTAATTTCTATCCTTCAGAAGCAAGGAAGCAGAATCTGTATTATTAATCATTACACCAGTATTACCTGCCTTCCTATCTAAGTGTTCATTCTACACTCAGCCCTCTGGTTTTTTTAGGGTATTATCAAGCACCAGTGAAACCTAATCCTTAAAAACAAAGAACAAGTTTTCCACATAGGCCCTACAATGTATTACATTTTGTAAAGAATCTAGGCTACCATTTGGAGAAGAAGCTTTATTATCCTTTGAATTCTGAGGTTTTGTTTTTTCAAGGGTTCATAGATAGATTTCTACTGTCCTTTCACGCCAACGCAGCTACAAATTTTCCCTCTGCTTCCACATTTCAAACCATTATTCTTCTGTCTAATTCTTGCAGCTGGAATATCTTCTTTACTTTTCTTTCTCTTCTGAGGAGCTCTATGGGATTAAGCAATAGGATTCACCAAAGAAGTCTCAGGTCCACCCTGCTCTTATATTAGAGATAAGAATTTGATTTAGCCTCCCAGTTCTAATTTAAACAAAAAAAACCAAAACAAAACACCACCAAGAAAAACCACCACAAAACCTCCTTTCTTTAGAAAACAGGTGAGTAAGAATAATACTGTGGGGCCTTCTTTACATCTCAAAGATTGGTATAAAAAAGGACACAAGCCCTGTAGCCCTGTTTTGTTCCTTGTGTTGGAGTTTGCCTTTAATTTGTAGCATTTGATCTCAAAGCTGATGCACACTAGAGCCACAGCAACAGCGGCTGAATGGTTGCAAGGGCTGAGATTCACATTTGGGAACACAAATCTCTCTCGCAGGAGCTTGCCACACACACTCCCCACAGCTGAAGGAGTATTTTTACATTTTGCTTGCTGGCTTGTTCCAAAGCTGAGAGATTAGGGACAGCTCAGAGTAGCAAAGTGACAGAGATATAGATGACTGGACTCCTGTGGGTCTCACAGGGATATGCCTCCCTTTAAAGAACTGTAAATGCTTCTAATCATTGCCCAACTGCATTAAGTCCTCTTTAGATAAAGGTTTGATACAGATTTGAAAAATGAAATTATTTGGGGACCATAGGGAGCAAAGCAAGCAATCTTCAAACATCAGAAAACCTGTGGGATTCGCTTTGCAGTAGTATGATAGATGGCTTGACTAGACATGCCGTTTCCTATTTTCTACTTTCATTTTTCAGACCAGATTGCACTAAACCACAAAACCATCGTGTGTCCTATGATCGATGTCATTGACCACAATCACTTTGGCTACGAGGCACAGGCGGGGGATGCCATGCGAGGAGCTTTTGACTGGGAAATGTACTACAAAAGAATACCGATTCCTCCAGAGCTCCAGAGAGCTGATCCCAGCGACCCCTTTGAGTAAGTAGCGATAAAGGGGGGAGTGGGAACATGAATCAGAACAAGCAAAGAAGGTAACTGTAGCAGAAGAATCCAAGCCCAGAAATTTCCACGTAGGCCACTTCGTACTAATGAAAGGTAGTAGAAGCAAACAGCTTCTATACAGGTTTATAAAACCTCAAAATTAGGAAAAAGATCAGGACGACAAGTTGCTGAATTCACAAACTGTGCTTTAAACACAAATCTTCTCAATCTTTCCTGATTCAGTGGTTGTGCATAAAAGAAACAGGCACATACTTGTCGTTTAAGTATTGGCATTGGACAAGGAGTGAATGTGACTGCAGTTATTCTGTTTATTCCACAGAGCACTTCCTGGACAGACTTTAGTTTAATGTTTTCTTTGCTGGAGATTGATGTAATACATGCATCAATAGCTGAGTCCACATTCTGCCAGCAGATGCTTTGTTTATGACTGGTGATATTGCTACTGTATATGTATTGCTGTAACTTAAACACAGGGCTGTCAAACTGAAACAGTGTCGAGCTGATTTGTAAATAATTTTTGATGAACCAGCTTCCGATCCCAGTATTGTATAGATCGGCTCATTCAGAAGAATGATCTTCTACTCTTCAAAAAGGTAGATCCTTTTTTCTTTTCTTTTCTTTTCTTTTAATTATTCTCATGTAAAGATCAGCTGGGATTAATCCACATCAGCAGAGAGAGGACAGACAGACGGACATGGTTCAATGTGGCAAAGTCTCCAGGTCTCTCCCACAGCGTGCATCCCAGCAGGGCTGGCAGCCGGACTGGCTCTGATGCTGTCAGTAGCCCTGGCTGAAACGCCACGCTGCAGGTTTTGGCAGTTTAAAAACTAAGCATTTTCCCCTCCCAAAAACAAAACCTGGAAACAATAGCAACAGAAAAGCTGTGTCTCTGTCGCAGACTCTGCACTATTTTGAAGTAATGGATCTGATTCATGCAGAAATTGACCCTTATATCCAGGGAATGACCAGCTCTGTACAGGGAAAAGTAGGTAATTGTGGCATTCGGTGGGCTTATTTTCATTATTCTACTTGTTCCTTTTTACTTATCTCCATCTAGCCCATCAGTCTTCATCTTGCATTGGTGTAAGTGCTGATGAAGTACTTCCCATCAGCTGCCAATGTGACCACTCCACAACATAGATGCAGCTAGTGCAATCACATAACACTCCAGAGTTGCTAGAGCCTCCATTGCTCTTCCGCAAGTCTTCCTGGTCCTCTGAGCAGTTGTAATTTCTTGCCGCTTACTGAAAGTCACCTAGCACATCATATAATTTGGTTCAGCATTCAAAGTTCTGGTGTAAGTAAAACTTATATATTGCCAATGTAGCTACAGGCTTGCTTATCAGCTATTTCATACGTTTGCAGTTTGTAGTACGCATTTCTCAAAGACAAGAGAGGCCTGAAGAGGAGGTACTCATAGGAAACTTTCTAGAACACACAAGGCTTTGTGCAGTGCAGAACAGATGTGGCAGTTTCGCATGAACTGTTGTTACAGTCAGCATGGCAGCACTTGATACCCACCTTGCCCTGCCTGCATTAGTAAGACACAGAGATAAATGGCTTTGTAAGGAACAACATATAGGACAACGCAACCTATAAACCTCCTGTAATCTGAGTAGTCGTCTCCCCAGAAAGGTGGAAAGGCTTCCCAGTTCTTACACAAATCTGTGGGAGTCTTCCTTTGTTTTCCCCATCACAGGATCCGCATCAGAGTGATGCAAGTGGAAAAGCAGCATTGCACATGGAACCACCATGCCCGTCCCCACACATGGCAGCAGGATTGAAGGCTGGCTGAGCTAGGACAATATCTTTGCTGAAAAGTACCCTCTGCCTAGAATGACGAGGGTATAGAAGTGTTTTAAATAATCAGTATGAATTTTGCTTAGGGGAGGAATTATTTTCTAATTCAAAGTCAGTACTGCTTTTCTCCTAGGGCCTTCTCTGTTGACACCTCAAGCTTTTAGTACCTTGCTTACAAGAAGTACGGTAAAAGTTACAAACCACTTTAGATATCAGTAACTTAATTGACCAAGACAGCTTCTATAGAATTAAAGAGACAGAACAGTTTTCCTTTAGGTGCATATACACTAAAACTAGAAATGGCTTCAGCCAGCACCATAATTATTATGTTACTATTTTGTAAGCAGTAGGGATTATTTTTTTATTTAGGTTAAATATTTTACTATTGGTATCTTAATAGCTTTATTTCTTGCCAGCAGCATCAGATCTGAGCTGATCCTTAATGAACTGGAAAATTGCCAGCGTTTTTAGTAAAACACCAGCAAATAATGGGTACGTGATCCAAAAATTGTGCTGATGAGTTTTTTCTCTCACTTAAAATGCCAACTCAGTATGTGTGTTAAGCAGAAAAGGTTGCATCAGCCTAAGAAATAATGTACATAAAACCAGATCAAACTACGGATGACCTAAGAGCAGTCATTGTATTATCTGAATAGTACATTTGCTTTCTAGCTGCACATGATCAAAATAGTGCTTCAGCAGACATCAGCAGAGTGTTTGCTGTTGACACAACAAACTGAGGTAGGGTTTTGGTGTGGCAGTAGCACAGAGCTTACTGAGCTCCAATGCTTAGATAAGCTATTGTTTCTGGACTTAATTTTTCCCCACTTTTTTTTTTTAACTACATTTCACTATGGTCGCTGTTTGACAGGCGCTCTCCTGTTGGATGACATCTATCTGGACGCAATCTTTCCGTTCAAAATCCCTCTTGTGACGACTCTAGACATTCTCATCCATTTGCGGTGTGAGCGTGGGCATGTTTTATTCTTCATACCCCTGCAGTGCTGCTCAGGCAGCATCTCCACCCTTCGCTGTGACAAAACTTGGAGCTTCATTCCAGATCTCAGCTGTTCCTGATGTACACCCACACCCATTCTCAGGCTCTGCAGTTGTTCACGACAAGTAGCTTTACACCAAGATTTGGCTTGGTGTTTATGACTTTAGGCCTGTAGAACACTCTCAGAAGCCTCCAGCCTGCCCAGTGTCAAATTCAGGTACAGATGACGTACTAGCACCAACCTGGGAGTCACATGACAAATTTATAACTGCATTTGGATCAGGCTGCATTCATGTACAAAATTTATCACCTTGGTTTCACATGTAGTTTGTCACTGGCCACGCCAAGTTTCCCATAGGTTTCACTGAACCAAACTATAGCCATATAAAATGTATTTTCAATCAAAGCTCCTATGTGAATTATTGGATATTGCTCTATGCTCATTGTAGTGTTTAGGAAGGTTTAACAACTATTCCATAAATGGATCTCATGTAGCCTTTAAGATTAGCTATTTTTCTAAAAGATCTATGTTGCTGTTTTTCAGGATACATTGAATCCTTAGAGGCACGGAAATTGGACTTCACCCCTAATAATGTTGCCTTCCCATCTGGAGACTAAATCTGTGAACTCCTTGTTGATTTCCCTTTTTCATGTGCCACGGAAACAACAGAAGTTTTATATTGCATTCAACTGATCAGTCACACTTGCAGATCATCACAGATGGTTGTAGTGATTTTTCTCTTGTGATTCATGTACGACTGCCCCAATATATTCTGAAGGGGGCTTCATGCTATTTTCCGCTAATGCATTCAGGATTGTGTAAACAACACAGAGCAAATTGGTGTTCTGATGTATTGTGGGAAATTGTCAGACAATCGTGAAATCATCATCATGTCAGGATGATGCTCCCTGTTTTGATCCCAAGGTCAATGATCATTCAGCAGAATGTGAGATGACTTGGGAAATTTTCTTCTAGTCTATAAACAGGGACGACCAGAGATGTTTACCTCCTCTGTGGCAAGGATCACCTTGACTTATTATCTCTCGCTGGTTTGTTTCTCTGTCATGGCAGAGGTTTGGGAGCATGCCCTTATGGGATATATGGGTTTGGGACATAAGAGCATGCTCTTCTGTGGCTGTTTCTTTCTGTGGTGCAAGCACTAATCTCTGGAGGAGTTTGCCTAACCCAAGCGATTGCCACTTAAACTAATAGGATAACCTTGTTACTATAATGGACTGTGATATACAGCATGTCAGTTTATATGATTTAATAGCCTGTCTGGGCTAAAAGCTCTGTGGAAGTTTAAAGCAGAGGTTTGATATGCTCAAGCCTGCTGGGGATGACTGCTCTTTATTTCCTGGCAGCACTGACATTGCATCAATTCATGTTATCACATGTCCAATCTGAAAACGGGCATCAGTGTCTATTTATGCCAGCAGCAACATATTTTTAACCAGGCAAGAAAACATCAACAATTCAACTCAAAAAACTATTTGGAAAAACCACAGACTAATCAAGAGGATTAATGTAGCACAGATCAATTAGGGTAGGAAAGGGCTGCACAGCTCCTTGGAGCAGTTTTATGGTGGTGTAACTTTATGATACAGGAGGGAGGGATAGGTGCGGGTGAGACATTGCTATTGAATTGCAACTCAGGATGGAAATCCTAAATGATGAGAGAAGTGTTGTGCTACTTACTGGATGCTAAGACTACTAGCACCTATCTGGCAAAATTAGTAGTTTTTTGGTGTATGAGCACTCCTTGCTCTCCGAGGGTTCCTTTCTATGACAGCCTGTTTGCCTTCTGATGTAGAGCTGTCATCTCCAGACCTCCCTGAAGGGAGACGAAGCTGGAGAATCATGTAATTCTAGCGAAGGACCAGAACAATAGTTTGGCAAATACTGGGCTAGCCAAGGAAGCAGAAGCAACTTTGTAACCTCTGGCGAGAAATTTTAGTTCTTGTACTCAGTTTCCCATTTATAAAGTAGGAATAGAATCACCCCACCATCGCAAGGCTACTTTGGGTAAGAGTCTGGCAAAGCTTATAGGATTGAGGTCTCACAGTAATAGGGGCCATTTATGGTTTATGGATGTACTTTTTGGCAAAATTTTGGACGTAGTCAAGGGATGAAATTAGGTGATCAGCACATTTTTCTCTTTCCTTGCATCACAGACTC